ACTCTCACCCCTCCTGTTCAACATAGTGTTGGAAGTCCTAGCTAGAGCAATCAGACAAGAGGAGGAAATTAGGGGTATCCAAATAGGAAAAGAAGTCAAGTTATCTCTCTTTGCTGAAGATATGATCCTATACCTTGAAAATCCAAGAGAATCTGTCAAAAACCTCTTTGCACTGATAAAGGACTTTGGCAAAGTTTCGGGGTCCAAAATACACAGGCAAAAGACAGTTGCATGCTTCTACACCAATACCAAACACACAGAGAAACAATAGAAAGCACAATCCCATTCACAATAGCCACAAAAAAAAAAAAAAAAAAAAAAAAAAAAAACAAAAGAAATAACTTGGCATCTTCCTAACCAGAGTAGTGAAAGACCTTTACAATGAAAACTACAAAACACTGCTCAAAGAAATCCAAGACTGAGCCCGCGGGTTCAAGACCTGCCTAGGCAACTTGGTGAGACCTCATCTCTACAATAAAATCAAAAATTAGCCGGGCGTGGTAGCGCGCGCCTGTAGTTCCAGCTACTTGGAAGGCTGAAGTGGAAGGATCGCCAGAGCCCAGCAGGTCGAGGCGGCAGTGGCCGGGAGAGGCCACTGCACTCCAGGCTGGGTGACAGAGTGAGACTCCAACTCAAAAAAAAAAAAAAAAAAAAAAAAGAAATCCAAGAAGACACAAACAAATGGAAAAATATTCCATGCTCATGAACTGGAAGAATCAACATTGTTAAGCTGTTCCTCCTACTAAAGGCAACCTACAGATTCAATGCAATACCCATTAAATTACCAACATCATTTTTCTGAGATCTGGAAATGACAATACAGGAATTCATATAGAAACATAAATGATCACTAATGGACAAAACAATCTTCAGCAAAAGAAACAAAGGAGGAGGTATCACACTTCCAGACTTTAAACTATACTATAAGGCTATTATAATCAAAACAACCTGGTATTGGTACAAGAACAGGCATATAGAACAATGGAACAGGATAGATATTCCAGAAGCAAGACCTCAATTTCTCAACCAACTCATCTTTGACAAAGCCTCCACCAACAACCACTGGGTAGAAGAGAACCTATTCAGTAAATGGTGCTGGGAAAACTGACTGACCACATGCAGAATATTGAAACAGGACCCCTATCTTTCATCATACACAAAAATAAACTCTAAATGGATCAAAGACCTAAATATAAAATTTCAAAGTGTAAGAACCTTAGAAAATGCAGAAGACATACTTATGGAAATCAGAGTAAGCAACTAATCCCTGATCAAAATCCTAGATGTCCATGCCATAAGAGATAAGATAGGCAAATGGGACCTCATTAAACTGAAAAGCTTCTGCAAAACAAAAGAAACCAACAAGAGAGGGGGCAGACAGCCCACAGAATGGGAAATAACATTTGCCAACTGTGTATGTGACAAAGGTCTAACATCCAGGACCTACACGGAACTCAAACATGCTGAAAGGAAAAAAAAAACAAACAGCCCCACTAAAAACTGGGCAAAAGGCATAAGTAAGACACTTCTCAAAAGAAGACATACGGGCAGCCAACAGATACATGAAAAAGTGCTCAGCCTCACTAATTATCAGAGAAATGTGAATAGATACCACATTGAGATCCCACCTAACCCCAATAAGAATGGCCATCATTAGTAAAACAAAAACAATAGATGCTGGCAAGGATGCAGAGAAAAGGGAATGCAAACTTGTTCAAACTCTATGGAAAATAGTGTGGTGATTTCTAAAAGAACTAGAGATTGACCTCTTCTGGGAGTATACCTGGAGGAATTCAAATCATTCTACCAAAATGATACCTGTACATGCATGTTTATTGCAGTAATAAATAAGACTGACCCAAGACATATATATGTCATATATATACACACATATATATATATACATATAAAATAATCAAACTCTCAAAGGTCAAGGACAAAGAGAAGATCCTAAAAGTAGCAAGAAAAGAGAAGCAAATAACATATAAAGGAGTTCCAATTCATCTGAAAACACACACACACACACACACACACACACACACACACACACACACACACACACACACGCCTTGGGCCAATCTTATTTGGGTTGAATCTGTTCAGTGTTCTCTGGCCTTCTTGTACCTGGATATTTATATCTTTCTCAAGTTTTAGAGAGTTTTCTGTTACTGTTTCTTTGAATAAGCTTTCTACCCCTGGTTCTTGCTTAGCTCCTTTTCTTGAACACCAATAATTCTCAGATTTGGTTTCTTAAGGTAATTTTCTATATCTTACAGGAAGTATGCATTCCTTTTTTTCCTCATTTGATTGTGTATTTTCAAATAGCCTGTCTTCACTGATTCTCTCTTCTGTTGATCCATTCTGGTGTTGAGAGCCTCAAAATGAATTTTTTAGTTGAGCAAATGAATTTTTCAGTTCTACGATTTGTTTGATTTTTAAAAAATTATTTCAATGCCCTTAATTTCTCTTTATCAACTTCTGAACTGATTTTCTGTGTTATCTTAGAGATCACTGAGTTTCCATAAAACTGATCATTTAAACAATTGGTCAGAGAGCTCATAAATCACCATCACATCATGGTCAGTCACTGGATTTTTGCTTTGTCCTTTTAGGGAGGTCAAGTTTCACTGCTGGCTGTTGTTTTCTGTGGCTGTATGTCTTTGTCTTGCACTGACCGATTAGTCCAGTTTCCTCTGCCCAGCTTGTTTGGGTTTAAAAAAGTTTTTTTTTATTTTAAACATGTGGGGTACAATTCAGGGTTAGGTATACAAATGTTTATTACGCAGGTACCCTTGTTGATGAGGTTTTATTGAATATATTTGCTTAGCAAGTCTACAGTGCTAGGTCGTTGCCTCCTTTTTGGCTCTAGGTGGCGACTTAAGCCCTGGTTCGCCTCAGCTCTACTAAGGGGTCAGAGTGGGATTCTCAGGAATTATGGGGGAAGTACCATGGGATCCTTTGATTTCCAGACAGCGTGGAAAGGCTGGCTGGTGGTTTGGGACCCAGGGAAGGTGTCTCTTACAGCCACTCTGATTGGCCTTTTCCTTGGCCAGTTACAGAGCAGACTTTCCAACTGGGGATCATAGTCTCACCCCCTCCCTCTGTGCCTGTCGTCAGGGATAGCTCTCCCTCCAGGTAGCTGTGATGCTCCCCATAGGATAAGGAACCTGCCCAGGTACCCAAGATGGGGGGAAGGTGGGTGACCACCTTGACGTGACTCTTTCCAACGTAGAAGCCATGAGTTGAGGGGAGATTTTTGGTGTAGCTGGAGCCTGGCAGAATCTGGGTGAGGGGCATCCCCACGTGGAAGTGTGGTTCTCTACTGTCTGCTCAGTTCTTCCTTTCTCTGTGGCCCTGGGAACTGCCTTATCTTCATACTCCAGCTTTGGCTGCGGCTGGTGAACATCTCAGCACCACGCATTTGTTTTGTTTTTTTGGTGAAAAGAGGGAAGCCACATGTCTCCATTTGGGAACTAGAACTCCTCAACAACAAAATTATTAAGATGTTTTACATTCTTTTATCCGTACTAGTTCTTCAAAATCTGGACTACTTCACACCTCTAGTACATCTGTGTTATCCTGGTCATACTCCAAGTGCCCAGCAGCCATAGGAGGCCCTGAACTCAGCTCAAGTGCAGACTTTGGAAATAGAAAGATGCTTAAAACACCATCTCTGCCCTCAACAACCCTGTAGGTGGTAGGGATGCTCACATATAAACATAGTTTACACTTTGTTTTAAGTGCTATAAGAGAAGTATGAATAAAGAACACTCTTTCTCCTCAATCTCAAGTATGGGAAAATTTATGAAGATTAGTAAAAGAAGGGAAAATCTGAGTTATAATTTAATGCTCTGACCCTAGTATAACTTTTAACCATTAACTAACAGATTTAACCATGTATAAGTTCTAAAATATTTTGTCTTCTCTCCTGTCTTACCCAACCCATCTTCAAACTGAGGGGCATCCACAGGACGATTGTGGCTGCCACCAGCTGGGCTGACCCAAGCCCTGGAGGGGAAGAGAGTAAGGAGCTCACACTCACGAGCACATTCCCTGCAGCGTGTCAGTGCAGAAATTGAGCTGGTGACACACCCAATGACTATCCTTGGACCCTGCAGGTTAAAGACTCTGAATACTGGCTTACATTATATTTTGTTAAATAATTAAAGAATGTAAGTCAAAGTTTTTTACACTGAGAATTTCCTCACATCTTTGGCTGTATCATAGGTTTTGATATTTGATAGTATTCTGTTAAATCCTAAATAGTTGGTAACTGAACAAAGTATTGCTTTAAAAGGTCTAAGTCGTATTTGTTTGGAGTTTTTTGTTGTTGTTAATGCCATGTTTCTCCTTTGTAGATCACTGAGGCCTAATAACTAATCCATTTGTGGCCTAGTAAATAATCAACTTTTAAAATGTTCCAGTGGATCACTGCAAGTGTTATGCTGCCCAAATAGCAAGTAATACCATTAATAAGAATTGGTATAAGTGGACCTTGGATAATTATTGTAACACTTAAAAAAAAAAAGATTAGGCTAGACACAGTGGCTCAAGTCTGTAATCCCAGCACTTTGGGAGGCTGAGGTGAGGGTATTGCCTGAGCCCACAGGTTCAAGAATAGCCTGGGACACTTGAGAGACCTCAACTCTACAATAAAAAATAAAAAAATTAGCCAGGCATGGTAGCACGTGCCTGTAGTTCCAGCTACTTGGGAGACTGAGGCAAAAGAGGGAGGAAGGAAGGAAGGAAGGAAGGAAAGCAGGCAGGCAGGCAGGAAGGAAGGAAGGGAGGGAGGAAAGGATTGGCAGTAGCGGGAAACCACTGGGTGGAGGGGAGGCAGGATTGGCAGTAATGGGAATCTGTGGGGGCAGGGGGAGGCACACCTCATCAACAAGGGGACTTGCATAATGAACATTTGTATACCTAACCCTGAATTGTATTCCACATCTTTAAAAATAAAATAAAAAAGAATTGGTGCTTTAAAAAGCAGACTTTCTTACCAAGAATATTGGTTCTCCAAATGGTGAAAAATCAATCACATTAACTTTTACTGGTCTTATACCACACTGCTGAGGTTTGAATAGTCTGGGAGACACTCTCAAATCTTGTCTGGTGCCATGGCTTATCAGACCCTGGTAATGAGAAGAAGCCGATGAGTGAATGAAGAACAGCATTAGGCATGAAGTTAGACAAAGCTATTATTCCTGAAACAATCCAAACATTAGAACAAAAGCAAACAATAAGTTAATTTTAACGATATTTATCAGGTAACTCTAGGAAAGAAGAATGTTTAATAGAATGAAATTCAAAACATTACTTACCATGTCTGTGCCAACAATAAAGTGATTAGGATCTGAAGGCAGAAATTTAACATTCAGAGTTTGCGTGGTTCCCAAAAATTCATTACCTTTATGGGAAAGACTAAAAAATAGCAAAGATTAATAGATGAATTGTTTCGAAACCTTAAAAATAATGATACTTAACACTTATGTGCATTATTATATCTCATTAGATGCATAATAGGCCATGTTATTTTCCTCTGTGATTTTCACCACTCTATTTCCTATCTTTTTTTTTTCTGTTGCTGCATTCTTGATAATTTCCTCAAGTCTATGTCGTCTTTCTTCGGCTATATCTATCTCTTTCTTCAGCTGTATCTAATCTGCTATTTAATCATATACCAAGTTTTAAATTTCAGAGACAGCAGTTTCATTTCTAGAAATTTCTTTTAGATCATACAATTGTCTCAAGTTCTTAGCACGCTAATCCATTCTTTTGTACCAGGGTGAATTGTTTATGCTTGAGGTTTTATAATTTTTATTTGTGACTCATCTTCAGTAGTAGATCACTCTTTGAGGGAATCCTGTAAGTTCCAACCTGTAAAAGTGTCCCGATCCACCAGGTGGTTTTCCCTTGACTTTAACTGCAAGCCCACTGAGGCCAATGGTCTGGGTGTTTGATGCCCACATTTCAGTTTGTAAGTTCCCATACCCACACCCAGCTTGGGATTTCAAGCTCCCTCAAGCTCCTTTGTCTTCCCTTAGCTGGAATGAGGCTTCTGAATTTCTCTCTCACTGAAGGAGCAGTGTTGCAGAATCCTGTGCAGGAGTCTCAGTCCCAGCTCCCTGACTTAGGCAAGCCAACGAAGCACCTTGTCCTGCTTGGATGAGGCCTGGGCACAGCCAGGAAGGCCTGACATAGCCTGGGCCTGACACCACACAGCAGCTCAAATGCTTATGACTCCAAGCTCCTTCCTGTTTCTACCATTTAGAAATTTTCCTTTCTTTTCAAAAACTATACCTAGTTTTATTACTGTTTTTCCTTTATACAGTATATGTGTTTGTAATGAAAGGAGCCTACAGTTGCTCCTTCTGCCATGCTGGCTTTGTCAGAAATTAGGATCCAACTGTCCTTCTGGGCCTCCTTTCCAAGCTCCTCTTCTCACCCACATTCAGGACTGTGAATGCTATCTGCCAGTTGATGACTCCCAAATCTGCACCTACCTCTGGATATCTCTCCAGGTGCCGCAAGCTCAGCCCCTCCTCCTGGACACATCTCCCCATCCTCATCTTGTGAGGGGTGCTCAACACCAACCAGACAACTTGGTGGAAGGCAGAGGCCAAACTAGGCTCCTCCCCCCATTGTTTCTATAATCAATCAGTCACCAGCGTTGTCAGCACCACCCTTTAATCTATGTCCAGCCCTCCATATCCATGCTTGCTGCCTGTGTTCAAACCCTTGTCATTCAGAAGTTGGTCATTCCAGATGATTCCTAACTGGTCTCACTGAATCCAGCCTCTCTTGGTCTGCTCCAAACTTAAACTGTTGCCAAGTCAATCAATCTAAATCACAAACAAGACATGTCACTCCTTGGCTTAACATCCTGCAGTGGCTATCACTTTCATGACAACATCTAAACCCTTTAGCACAGCAAACAGCCCTCAGGGTCAGGCCACCAACTCATTCCCTCTCTTTTAACATCAAAGTTGCAGATAGTTTTAAATGTGCCTCTGGGTGTTCCTGGGTGCTGCTTCCTCTAACCACAACACTCTTATCTAACTAACACCATCTCTCAAAGGCCAGGCTCAGCTATCCTCCCCCTAAAAGTCCCCATCTCACTCTATCCCCACTATCTCCCTCCTTGGAGCTCCCACATGCCCTGAGCACTTTGTGCTCAATGCTGTGACCCCAGTGGATGAAGCCCAGCCACTGAGGGTGCTGCAGGCAGACAGCTACAGAGCTGCTTCTCTCACAGCAACCAGCCTTCTGGGGATGCCCATGCCCCAGTGGCTGATGAGAGAGGGTACAAAGGCCTGGCCACGTGATTCTGGGAGGCCCTTCCAGCTCAGAACTCCCAGGGCAGGGAGGCTGTCATGGGGCCTGCCTCACAATCCAGCCCTCCCCTCAGCTCATTCCTGCCACCCCCTGCCCTTTCCCAGACATTTATCCCAAGGAGCTCCTTGAGAAACACCCTCACACTGAGCTCCACTCCAGAGCCTTCTTCCTCCAAAAGGAGGGTGCCCCACCTGCGATAACTGCAGTGTTTACTTATCTGCCTCCTTGTGGGAGCACTTTGAGGGAAGAAGCTCTCTCTCAGTGCTAAAAAGTCTGGCATGCAGAATATACTCACAAAGTTGTTTGAGTAAAATCTAAAGGAACATTATTATGCATGGATCTCAGGAAGACACGCGAGGAGGTCTGAGCAAAAATGCTCGATATCAGATACATTAGACACAGTCCTTCTAAGAGTGTGCTGTTAAGTATAGGAGAAATTTATAGTTCAGAAAGAAATACAAAGCAAAGTGTGAAATGATAAGGACAGTAACAGAGATGAAAAATAGTCTTAAATAAACCCGGAGAGGGAATGGCACACACTGGAGAGGTAAGTGACTAGCCCAGGAATCATGTATGTTTGACTCTGTAATGTATTAGATGACTTTTGAAAACAAATAATTCATTTTTATAACCACATTTCAATCAAATGAAGTTGATTTACACTCTCTAAACATGTGTGAATTTATTAACACAATCAAGAGGTATTCTATCGGATGAGAGGAAACCAGGCCCAAATATTTTTCAAGGATAATTCACATGATGATAGCTCCTGAGTGCAAAGATTGACAAGAAAGGATACTTTAGGCAATAAACAAACAGGAAATGTATGAATTCCACAAAAAATGCTGTATATTTATTAAGAACTTCTGTTATATGAAGTTATATGAGCAAAAGTAAATCTCTGAACAAAACTTTTCTATCAATGTTTCTGGTTTCTAAAACTTCATCTAAATTTAACTTCAGGGTTGCACTAAAACATTAATAGGTTGAGCACTGTGGCTCATGCCTATAATCCCAGCTACTTGGGAGACCAATGCAAGAGGATCATGGAGTTCGAGACCAATCTGAGCAACACAGCAAGATCCTGTATCAAAACAAAACAAAAGTGTATGAAAAATAGTCAAATAGGACCAATTCCTAAGATAGGAAATATTTTATTTATTTATCTTTTTTAGAAACAAGGTCTTGCTCTGTCACTCAGGCTGTAGTGCAACAGTGTGATCACAGCTCACCATAGCCTCAAATTTCTGGCCTTGAGCAATCCTCCCAACTCAGCCTCCCAAAGCTGGGCTTACAGTTGTAAGCCAACATATCTGCCCAGAAATATTTTTTGATTAAAGAAAAAAAAAATGTTAACTATATACCTGGAAGTTGTATTTTTAAACAATTTTTTAATATAGAGTTTTAGAGTATAAGTGAGAATTAACTACATAATGGAAGTTGTATTTATTACACTCGTTAATACTAAACTAATAGCAAAAACATAATGTGAGAGAACGGATTTTTTCATTGTAAAACCTGGCATGCATTTACTACATATGAAATTCCCCAATGTTATTTTTCTTCTGTGGGAAACAGGTCTTGGTGAGATAAGGAAAGTGTTTTCCTTCAAACCTTACCTGCCAACCAAGTGGAACACAGCACTATGTACCAACTTGATCCTCCCTCCAGGTATCAGACCTAAAAATAGACAAACAAAAATAAATGCACCACTTAACACAAATTAAGTCAAAAACTAATTATAGTTGCCCAGAATCATTTTCCATGGCTTAAATATCTGTTAGAAAATAATATCAAAATATAAACTGATAAACAATATTCCCTCCCTAATTCAGGGTAAGGTTCACCAACGATGCCTTAAGATAAAAATAAAGATTGCAGAATCAAGATCTAGAGGCCTTTACACTTTTAGATCTGATAAAATAAAAGCAGTGAGCAATTCATATATGTACGTGAATGTATATATATTTAACACACCTTAAACTCACAGCAGCAAACACTGTCTTGTGAATGTTCCCTGAGGCTCCAAAGCCCAGGAAACAGCAGGATCTCCCCCTCCACCATTCCAAAGACACACTCAGAAATCTGTTGGGCTCTGGACAGAAAACACAGGGAGGTAGCCAGTTCATCCAGCCAAACGTGTCCTGCCTTTCCCTCTGCTTCATCAGCTGTTCTAACTTCATTCTCAAGCCACACAGAGCAGTGTTTCTAAGGTTTGATTTTGTTTTTCCTTTCCTTTCCTTATTTTCCTAAAGTGTTCATGGCTACAACCATGACTCCTCAGCCATTCACTGGCTTTGCCTCCTGTGTCAGTCCCCCACCCCTCTTTTTTTAATGACCACAAAGGCAGAAACTAGAAATATACATATATATAAATGCAAATTCTGGCCAGGTATGGTGGCTCAGGCCTGTAATCCCAACATTTTGGAGGCCAAGGTGGGAGGACTGCTTAAGGTCAGGAGTTCAAGACTAGCCTGTGCAACACAGCAAGAGTTTATCACTACAAAAAAAAAAAAAAAAATAGCCAGTGTGGTGGCATGCAGCTACTTGGCAGGCAGAGGTAAGAGGACTGCCTAAGCCCGGGGGTTGAGGCTGCAATGAGCAAAGATGGCACCACTGCACTCCAGCTTGGGCAACAGAGCAGACCTGTGGCAGGTAGTGGGCTGGTAGCAGTTAAAGGTATTTCCTTTTGAAAGTCAAGTGGCAAGCTCTAAAGACCCACCAGGCTGGTTTTGTTTAAAAAAAAAAAAAAAAAGTCAAGTCAAATGGCCAGAGACTGATGGCTCTCACGGAAATGCAATAGAGTAACTAATTCACAGACTTACCCAAAACCCCTCTTTTGAAGTTGACAGTTTACAACTCTGCTTGCCCTGCATTTCCTGGAAACCATTTGTTCTTTGGAAATCTGATTTTGCTGAGTACAACCTTGTAAATTCCAAAGAAAATGTGTAATCGCTTAACACGACCCCCCTCCCTTACCTAGATGAAGGTATAAGAGGTATAAGACCCTTTTTCTCCTGTTCTGGGGGGTTCGACCTGGAAGCGCGAGCCCCTCGAGCCTGCCACTTCCTATAACAGTCTTGGTGTCATGACCTCTCTATCTTCCCGCTGCAGACTCTATCCCAAAATACAAATAAATAGACAAACACACACAAATTCTGGGTAAGGCACTGTCTAGAACTTTGGGAGCAGGTGAATGAAAAGTAGACAGAAATAAACTTGCAGTTGGAAAGGGTCGATACAGCTACACTGATTGTCGCCTGTCAATCACAACCATGATGAGGAATGTTCAACAACGCCATTCACAAAGGAGAAACTGTCCAGCATGCCTGCCTACCTGGTGTCTCAGCCCTCATGCCACCTCCCTTGAGAAGTCCCTCTGACCCGGGTCCGTGACAGTTCCTCTGTTTTAACAATCCCAGACAGGATCTTTGCCCTTGTTTCCCTGGCACTTAGGACCAGACCTGGCTTGTGCAGAGAGCACTTCATTGACAATGAAAGAAAGATGGTGGCTGATTTGTTCTAAATGAAACCTCAGCTATCCCACAACCACTCATCAGACACCTACACAAAGAGCTTGGAGCCACCCCGAACTGCTGGCTGGTCAGAACGTCCTCCCCACTCTTCCTAAAGGCAACAATGGAACACTGATGGTGAGAAGTTCCATGGATAAAGTGTGGTTTTTATACAGAAACATTTAAAAATTAAATGTATGCCACCCTGTGATACCTTTTATATAACTATCTCATATAAACTACAATTCATTTTTGTGCAAACACGTTTTATGTAAAATGATTTTGTTTCCAGAGCCAGATTATCACCCAACTGTGGACAGAAATTCCTTATTTCCTTAGTATCACCCATAATTGCTTGAAAAAACACCTTGATCATGTGATAAGTTAACAGTATAACCAGCCTCACAGTGGGCTCGCAAAATCACAAGAATTGTAGGCATCTGGGGTAGAGCCCAGGGTGTGAAGGCAGGGTTGGTTCTAAGGCTGATGGTGTGAGTCTGGCCCCATCACTAACCTACATCACGACTTGCAAACCCTGAAAAGGAAGAACTAGGAAACTACCAAGGCGTCCCAGCTCTGATGCTCTGAGAGCATGGGCAATGGGAAAGTCCAGAACACAGAAGGGCCAACACAGAGTGGAACAGTTTCACAATAAGCAGAAAGGAGGCTATATTTAAAAAGCCAAAAAAATGGTTACTCTACCTCTAAAACATTTACCAGTGAAATGAATGAAACAATTCCATCTTGTTTCTGTTAAAGGTAGAGTCCATAGTGAACTTTTAAGTTATCATTGACATGGAAATGTGAAGCATGCAGCATTTGCTCTATAAATGCAGTGTGCCCCTCTTCCTTAATTTCAAGAAGGTAGGAACAAAGTCAGTATCACCTCCGTCATATTCTTTTTGTCAGAGCTACCCAGATCTACCCTCCATGACATAAGCAAGGTGAAGGGGGATTCATTATTAGAAACTGAGTGGCTGGAGGCTACTGAGGTGATAAGAAAGACGAGTTTAAAATATGAGCTAAGCTCAGCTACAGAATGCAACAGTACTGAATTACTCCATCATTTCTAAGCCCTTTATGGAACTGAAACCCATGCTACACGGCAGCAAAAGCAGCAGACTGAGGGAGATGCTGTTATTTTTGCTCTGAGTCACTTCTCCACCCATACATGGGGCTTTTTACCACATTTGAGCCAGTCTGAGGGCCTTAGGGATGGCATCTAGTGTTCCTGATATGCCCTGGTGTGGCAGGATACGGTAAATGCTCAAATATATTTCTTGTATGATCGAGTGAATAAACACAGAAACACATGTAGCTGATCCAGGATCAGTAGTTGGCTTCACCTGGGCTAATTGAATATCTCCCTCTAGCCCAGAAGCAGGAAGGAGGGGTTGATAGCAGTTAAAGGTATTTCCTTTTGAAAGGCAAGCTGCAACTTTAAAGACCCACCAGGCCCGCTGGGCAGGTTTTGTTTAAGAAAGGCCAAATGGCCCAGAGACTGGTCATTTCATGGAAATGGAAAAGTCTTATCTAAAACCCCCCTTCTGAAGTTGACGGTTAACAATCCTGCAGTTCCTGGAAACCATTTGTTCCTTGAAAAATCTAATTTTGCTGAGTACAACCTTGTAAAGTTCCAAAGGAAGTATGTAATCACTCAACACGACCCCCTCCCTTACCTAAACAAGGGTATAAGACCCCACTTCTCCTGTTCTGGGGTACTCGATTTGGACCCTCGGGCCCGCTGGGATGGCCAGCGTAATAAAGTGCCACTTCCTATAATAGTCTCGGTGTCACGATCTCCCTATTTTTCCTGCTACACTGGGTTTGTAAATCCAAAATCAAAAGGAAGAAAGCCCAAAATGAATAATGAGTCAAGGCCTTGGACAATTGAAGTATATTGAAAAGGGCAGAATATAGCTGTCTTTGACTTGTCTTATAGAACAGAGTTATATTCAGCTATACATAAAACTCATTAAACCTTACTAGTGGAAATGTTCACTCAGAATATCACCTGATCATTCTAGTTAATCGGCATGCCTATTCAGTAGTTGAGAAGGTTAGAGATAAATGACCTTAATTGATTTCCCACCTTAATATATTTTTCAAAGCAGTTATTGGTACCTTTAACCTCTATTCATTTTAGAAAACAATGGCTATACTTAATTGTTTTGTGTAATAGTTACCTAAATCACTTATTGAGCCTGAGATGTCTGCTTTTGGTAATTCAACAACAACCTAAAAACAAAAGATTGAAAATAAATATTGATACAATTTATAATTATGAAACAATCTAAGCAAAGCATAGCTCTAATTAAGATGGCATACTATATCAGGTACTAAAAATACAATTGTTCCTGAAACAAAAGCTGGTCATTAACTTTAGAACAAACATTTTAAATGTTATTAACTCCTTTCTTTTTATCTCTTTTCATGTTCTCTTCACTCTTGACTTAATCAATAGCCAGTCTCAGTTCATCCTCAGCTCTGACATTTTGTTCCCATTTTTATTCCTCATAGGAATGATACAAGATTCCTATTTTTGCTGTAACAAAAGGGTCCCAAGTTCATTGGGTATAAAATGTTGTCTCCCCTCTGCACAGGACCAGTAAGTCCAGTCTTGCTCTTATTCTCCCATGTTACTAACTGTACCCTGCCCCTCCCCCTGTTCAGGTACCTCCTCCACCCAGAACACACGTTCAGGTCCCATGTACACACAGCCCAGGCCACCTACTCACCCACATATTGAGAATCCCGCTCTCGTCCAAGGATGCAATGTGGAATGCCAAACCTGACATTTCTAATAAAACAGAATCAGAAAAAATGGCCTTAAATAAGGAAACAACGTTTCATGATTACTGATTTAAGGATTTTAAGAAAGTAAAGGACTGTGTACCTTCCTGAGTAGAAAAGGGTGAAAGCACAAAGCTCTGTTTCTTGTAGACAGATGTTGAGACAGGTTCTATTGCTTGAAGTGGACTTCGGTGGTTTACTGACATAAAGATTCCATCTAGAGTTCAAAAAATCCACAGTACGCATATGTAAGTAATAAGACTCAGAAATACAATTAGCATTATGCACGAACTAACGTGTAGGTACTTCTAGGTCTGACAGATGCAAATCTTTCCACACATCCTCCCCCAAAAATCACAAGATCAATACAGATCGTACATAAAATGACACATGACCACGACTTTCATGTGACTAGGAGACGGAGACCATAGCCACCATGTTCCTGTGAGAGACAAGCACTAGTTCCAGCAGAGCTCCCCATCAATGCTGGTCTACAGGTCTGGAGATGGAGAGAGGAGAAGCTAAGGTCCACCATGGAAAAGAAAGAATGACACAAAGTCTGAAAAGAAATGCAGATGCAGACAAACACACCCTCAAACAAAGAGACTCTGAGGCCAGAGTCCCGGGGGCCACTCATCAGCTAAGGGGAAGGGGCTGGGAAGCAGAGGAGAATCAGGTGGTGCTGCTGACTGGAAAGCAGAAGGTGAACAGAAAAGGGAGGTGACCCCCACCCCAGACTCCAGATACTGGACAATAGAGGCCAAAGGGAAATCCAAGTATTTACAAAATCAAAGAAGAGACACACCTACCCCATACATCACCACCTTGAGCGACATTGTCCATTAAAAGAATACCTTTTGGACACTTTTGTACATCAATACAGCAAAGCAATTTTGACATAGAAATTCTATCTACAAAATGTCTAGAAGTACAAAAAAATCAGACAAACTTCATACAAAGCTACTGTGAGAAAACAGAAAATGCAAATCATTTTCATATCTTATTATCAATATAGATTTTTGTGTGCTATATTTACATAGCCAAATTATACTTAAAAATACATAGTTCAGGAATGTAGGTCTAAAATAATTTCACATTCCACACCTGTCAATTAATTCCAATGAATAGGCAATCAGGCTAAAAAAAAATTCATCAAATCATTCAATTTGCCTTAATGTGTATTTGAAAAGTATGTGTTTACTCATAACTGAAAATAAATCATCTAAATAACTAATAACATTGCTTTTTACCTTTTCTCTCCCCAAGGTATAAACATGGGTCTATATAAAGGCAGATAAAAATACTTTGAATATTTTGTTTAATGCTGATAAACATAAATGAAGAAATTAAATAAAAATGTTTCAGATCAAAAATAAAAAAGAAAATGCAAATCAAAGCATTTCAGCTAAGAAAATTCTCCCCTCCTAGAAACAAGCACAAAGCAGAAGACAATCAAAACTCAACTTCTGGCCGGGCTCGGTGGCTCAGCCTGTAATCCCAGCACTTTCGGAGGCCGAGGTGAGTGGATTGCCTGATCCCGCGGGTTCGAGACCTGCCTGGGCAACTTGACGAGACCTCACCTCTAAAACAAATCAAAAAATTAGCCAGGCGTGATAGCGCGCGCCTGTAGTTCCAGATACTTGGAAGGCTGAGGCGGAAGGATCGCCGGAGCCCAGCAGGTCGAGGCTGCAGTGGCCGGAAGCGGCCACTGCACTCCAGTCTGGGCGACAGAGTGAGACTCCAACTCAAAACAAAACAAAATGAAAAAACCCCTCAACTTCTAAGCTGAATCAAACCTCTTCAAAATGCATTTGGAAATGTATTTTTTAAAGAACAACAAACAAAACAAAAACACCTGGAATCAGAAATCAAGAACAGAATTAGACCAAAAAAAAAAAAAAAAGAGTAAGAAATATAGTAAGAATTGGAATTGAACTCAGAAAAAAAAAAAATGAAGAAAAAGACAAAACCAACTCAGACATTAAGAATAAATGACAAGGCTTCCAAGAGAGGAGAGATTCAAATGAAATGCTAACAAGTCACACTGAGAAAGTGCTGGTCTGTAACTTCTGGCTCCTCTGACACATGGGTTTGTATCCAAAGTTCCCAGTTCTCTCACTACTGAGAGCTCATTTAAAACTCTGTAGGTTTTACTTATGATATTTACATGGCAAAAGAAAACGAAAGAAGCATTTAAATGGACTAATTTATTTGTATATATATTTTTTAATGGTGCAGGATTCAAAAGTGTATTAGCAATATCAGCAGCAGTTAGAAAACACAAGGTTTTTAAAAAAATAAATCTTTTAAAAGAGCATCAACAGCATTTTGGGAGGCCAAGTCAAGAGGATTGCCTGAGCCCAGGGATTTAAAACCAGCCTGGGCAACTTGGAGAGACCTCATTTCTACAATAAATAAAAAAATTAGCCTGGCATGGTAGCAGACGCCATGTAGTTCCAGCTACTTGGAAGGCTAAGGCAGGAGGATCACCTGAGCCCAGCAGGTCAAGGCTGCGATGGCTGTGAGCGTGCCACTGCACTCCAGCCTGGGTGACAGAGTAAGAGAGAATCCAACTCAAAAAAAAAAAAGAAAGGAACATCAAAACCCATAAGGTATCTATAAATTCAAACATTCTCAATAGCAGCAGTATTACCCTCAGAAAAGCAAAAATTGGTATAGGGAGTTTTGTTTTTTTTTTAACTGGCTCTTTTAATATATAACACACAAGCCGGGCTCAGTGGCTCAGCCTGTAATCCCGCACCTTTGGGAGGCTGAGGTGAG